ATATAATTAATAAATAAAATTCATTATAATAATATTATTAAATTATTATGTAATATAAAAAATAGTCTATTCGCATATTATGATTTAATAACTAAATATATAAATAATAATATAATAAATAAAAAATATAGTTCAGTATAGTTGTGTATGATGTGCTGTTCTATCTAGATATGCATAGGTTCAGCCGCTCTGGTTTTTATTTTAGGTGTAGCTTGAGTTGGATGTATTGGGGTTCAATTAAGGCCTGAAATGTAATCTTGCAAACTGTTTAGTACAGAAAGCGTGCAAGTTAGTATGCAGTTAAAGTCAGCTCTGTCATATATCCAGGTGAACGACACGAGTATCGAGGGTCTGCGTCACGCGGAGGTGGTGGCGCTGATCAAAGCGGGCAGCAGAGAGACCCGTCTGCTGGTGGTGGATCCCGACACAGATGAGCTCTTCAACCGACTGGGTATCGTGCCCACATCTATTCATCTTAAAGGTACAGCACATGTTTGCATATATGTGTCCGGGGAGTTCTGGGAACGTCCACAGAAGGAAACGAAACTGGAAAGACGATATTGAAATGCTTTGTATTTACTTAGCCTCACCTGACTGCTACTGTGATCACTATTAGGAGAGTTTATGCAAAACACGACTGATGCCTTATGCAAACGTTTGTAATGTTCAGTGCACATAGAAACTAGCCCTAGTTCATAACTAGGTGGCGTGTCAGTAATCATCTCTCTCAAACAGAGGACTGTGTGGACGGGCCAATCATAGAGAGTCCTGAAGCGACGTGTTCAACCACACACAGCACTGTATCTGCTTCACCGGTCCCAGACGCCCACAAGATCTCTCCACCAATCATCAACATCACACTGACTGACCCACCAATCAGCAACGGCTCCCCAAGACACCAGAGTCACAGAAGCTCCTCCTCTCGATCCACATTATCAGAGACCAGCGCTGAAATCAGCAGCTTCGACAGCAGCAACAAGGTGAGTGCAAGTACATTCACTGTAACATACCTTGAGTGGCTTATTTTTTTAAAGTTGTACAAAAACAATGTTCAAATATTTTATTATTATTAATATAATTATTAATATAGCTGTTGTTGTTGATGATGATGATAATAATACTGTATTAATATAATATATAATTAATTAAATAAAAAAAATAATAATTGTATATATTATATGATATTATCATTATTATTATTATTATTGTTATTATTATTACAATTATAATTTATAAATATGGTATGTTATTAATGTAATAAAAATGTTGTTGGTAACAATAATAATAATAATAATAATAATAAATAAAATATTGTATATTGCATACATAGTATTCATTAATCTAAATAGTTATTATTATTATTATGGATGTTTTTGTTGTTGCTTTTTTGTTGTTGTTTGTTTTTATTATTATTGTTGTTGTTGATGGTAACAATTATACTACTGCTAATAATAATAATATAATTAGATATATTATTATTAATAATAATTATTATTGATAACTAAATAATAATGTATTCATATGATATATTTAACTTAATAATAATTTTTTTTGTTGTTGGTAATAGACGAGACGGATAAAAAAGTATATTTAAAAACTTTAATGTTAGGTGGGATTAATCGCGATTAATTTCAGAAATAAATGTGCGATTAATTAGTACTTTTTTTAATCCATTGACAGCACTAGTACTTATTAAAATACATGAAAGAATATGTGATCATATCACATTCTGTAAATGGACTACTTGCACTGAGCCTCGTGACGTACTTCCGTTATGAAATAATACAGCTCAGTTATTTCCGGTTATGTGTATTTTCAGTGTGCTGTAATCATCAAATTTACTTAAACGCCTATTGAAATGAGAGTCTGCGGGATGATTTATTTATCTGTATTAAATATGTTAGTCACTATTCTGTGTCATTTTTCATTCACAATCATTTCACTGTATGCAATGCCAAAATATGAATATTCAAAGTAGTCGCACTGTCAACGTGTTACTGTTTAAAATGAATTCAATGTTTAACATCATTACATTTCTTTAAGGCAGTTACCGCACATTCTTTCAGCCACTGGAATAAGAGCACCAACCATTCACATTCATGTAAAACTGTAAATTCAACAGATATGAAATATGATCAGTAAGAGAAAAATACTGTTAATGAGAAGACAAGCGCTGGACTGCGGCAGTGGCGAAATATATTTATTTATTTATTATGCAGAATGAACATTTGGAAAGGGAAATATATTTATAGGAACATTTCAGCAGGTTGAAGATAATTCATGTTAACGCAGAGAATATGATTAATTGTTTTTAAAAAATTGCCAGCTCTAAAATGTAGTAATGACCTGCTTTCTCATGAGAAACTGTCTGTATGTAAGTGCGCTAAATGCTGAGCGGAAACGAACGCGGAAGTAGTTGTGCAAGTAGTCCACTATGGTAAAAACATGTATGATTATTTTTGGCTCAGAAAAACATGAAATTAAACAGGATACATTCTAATGTATGAGGAAAAAACTACATTTAAAGCTGTATTACACTTTTATTGTTTTTGATGCTTGAAACCCCCTTTTCGTCTTTGACCCAATAATAAAAACATTAATATGAAATATATTTGATTCATTCATTCAAATAATATTTATTATTATTGGAAACAAAAGCAGCAAAATGTGAAATGAAACGTAATGTGCAAAGCAGGCACGGAAGGAAATATTTACTGTAATGTTCCATAATGTGAGCTAAGATTATTGATTTGATAAAATACTTAAGAGGCATAATATATTTTGATTAAAACAATAATGCATGCAAATGAACCCCTGTGTTGTGTTTTCACAGCTCACAGATTCTGACCATCACTCCAGCGATGACGCCCGTAAACCAAAGCGAGATGTGAAATCTGAGGATCCGTTCTGGGAGAGCGGTCTGCATCTGAGTCTGACCGCGGCGGAGGCCAAGCAGAAAGCCCGGGCCAAACGGCCCAACAAGAGAGCGCCCCCGATGGACTGGAGCAAGAAACAGGAAATCTTCAGCAACTTCTGAGCAGCGCACACATCAGAAAGTTCACCTCAGTTCTAGACAGATTCCACCGGCACACAAACCAGACCAAAAACATGCAGCTTACACCAGATTAGATCAACCTCCTGAAATGAGTGAGATCATCAAGAAAGGATGAGAGAAAAGGTTTGAGTGCAGATCTGTGTGCAGAAATGCAGATCTGAAAGTATGTTTTGAACAGGTTTGTTATTGTTGGATATCATGTTATGGGTTTAACGGAGCTTAATTGGGCATTTTGTTACTAGTAGGTGTTCCACATTCAGCCAGTTGGTTATTTCACCCAATAATGCACAAGCTCCCTTCTTGAAGTCACTTTCCTGCCATCACATTTCTTCTCTTTCTCAGAGATACTAATGCAACAGCAGTTCCCACAAACCAGAAAATAAGGAAGGAATGAAAAGAGAGTAAGAAAACGTCATTACAGGGCAGAAACAGTAAGAAGGAAAGACATACTGAAGGAAAGGTGAAGAGAAAGTGTAATTGCAATAGTTAAAGTCAACAAAAGATGGCAACTGAACATCGAGCTGAGAAGCCAAAGGTTGTAGGTTCAAATCCCTGAAGAAAGAAGTCATGATCTTGCACCATTAAGAGAAAATGTACAGTAAGAAGAACGGGAAGAGAAGGTTCAGTCCGAGACAGTAAACACATGTGACCAGATAGACATCTGATTTGAGTTCATCTATATGCTAATATTAGGGCTGGGCGATATGGCCAAAAACTTATCACGATAACATTTTTCAAATCAGTCGATAGCTATGATTATCACAATAAATTTCAAATCTTTCAAATATTTCTTTCAAGTTTTAGGATTTTTGCTCCTTAAGTGAAAGTTGTAGAAACCAGACGGTTCATTGTGGTTTTAAAATACTCTTTATGATCAGAACATGACAGACACTTCACGTACACTTTTCCAGTCATTTTTTCTTAACAAAATAAATATCTTAATTAATTTCTGCATGTTCTAATGAGTGATATTGTTTCAAATCATGAAACAGGTTTGTGTTGCCTGACTTTGACGCGTATCTTAAGCACAGTTTGCAGTGCCGGCTGCAATATTAATAATATTACATTTTTTTTGTCTCTTAGAAATGCATATTTGACAGTAGCTTGAGTTAGGATGCAGATCAAAAAATTATGTTCATTATCAAAAACATCTGTAAAAACTGTAACCTCATTCTTATATGGTGAAATTTCATTATTCTGACTGTTTTGAGTTTTATCAAAATTAACCACTGGTCTTCCATAGTTGCATACATTTAGATCATGATAACCACAGTTAAAACCACTCATATAGCACCTCAAATACCATGCATGTAACTAAATGGTTTCTAGGTATTTGTATGAAAAACAGTAGCCTAAATACATTTAGTATAAATGCACAAATGCTATAATCACAAACAAAACTGTCATTATATTACATTACTCCTTTAATACATGTCTAAGTTAATAATATAATAAAATTCGATATTAATATCCTACCTTTCAATACCGTACAGTTAGTGTTACTACAGTTAATCCATGGTAAATGATGCGGATAAAGGAGTAGCGCTGTTTCGTTCCGCTTTTGGCGCATAAACATTATATCCAACATTTAATGAACTCTTGTTATCATTATATCGAGGAAAATTATATCGCGATAATCATCGTTTTATCGCCCAGCCCTAGCTAATATACTCCTAAATCCTCACAACATTCACTATTAGCAGACATAGCTACAGTTAAACTCTATAATCTTTAGGTGCGTCCCAAATCGCGTACTTGTGCACTATTCTATGACATTTTGTAGTATAAAAAGTGCGAGTAGTGCGTTTGCACTGAAAATTCCAAAAAGAAAAAGTGCACATTAAATACCCGGATGAAATGCACTTAACCGAAAAAACAAACTCGCGTACTGAGTAGGTACTACATTTGAATCTGGATTTAGCCTACTTTAGCCCTTACAAGAGGATGTTCTATATAGGGCGAATTCCAAACTGCTTTTTTGCACCCTTGAAGGGCACTTCGGGAAGGGGACGCCATTTGTAGGGACGTTCCAAATAGAAGTGAACAACTTCAATCAATCCCTTCACGAAGGGCCCTTCCAGAAGTCTGTTAGCGAAGGGAACATGTGATGGTCACGTCACAGAAGTGATTCCGTTTGTGATCATGTGATCTTCGGTCAGGAGATATTGCGATGATTTTTAAAGCAAAGTTTGGATTGATTTCGACTTCACATACAAACGTAAGTAGAATAGGCTAATTACATTTGTCTAGTTTAATGTAATACAAAATATTTTTCGTCAGAGATAGAAAAATTATTTAAGACGGTAGTGTAAGCAAATTTAGTTTGAAAAAGTTTAATTGTAAATAAGACACAATTTGACAATATTTGAATAAAATAATAATAATAATAAGAAATAATTATTTTCAACGACTGATGGACGGTGCATGCACGCGCAGCATTGTCAAGGTAACATTTGGTCAGTCAATCCCTTTGTTAAGGTAGTTCAAAACGCTTATAGGAGACAGTAATGCCCTGCACCCTTCAAAGAACACACTTCAAGTGCTCTGCCCTTCAAAGGGAGTAGGGCCTAGGGATGCTCACTTCCGTTTGGAATTCGCCCATAATATGAATATGGGTAGTATGAATGAAATTCGTATGTGCTACATCCACCATGTTGTTACTGTCACATGATCTTCCAGTGTCAGTTGCATCGCTTCACTTCCATGCTCTCCTGTGGCCTCATGGGATAGTAAAGAAAGTAGCTGATCCGGGTACTTTCTGCTTACTGTTTTTCGAATACTATGAATTCAGACATACTCACCTCACATACTGTTTTTCGCCTACTATGTAGTAGGGAAGCATGCGATTTCGGACGCAGCGGAAGTGTGGAGTGTTGGACACTTCATGCACTCAACTGTCGCAGCTTTAATTATGTAGCGAAGGGGGAGGAGCTATCAGACTCTGATTATGAATTACAAAATAACCTTATATAATTCATACACTCCATGGTTTAGCGCATAGTGCATAGTGCCTCATTTGGGACGCAGCTTTTCTCTTCCAGGAAAACGGATAAAAAATATCGATGACATCATCCTGCACCACACAAATTTTTGTCCAATCGGGTGATCTCTAGAATGAGCATACTGGCTAATAGCCGTTTTCTTTAACACTGAAGGAATATTCATGTATTTATTTTCTTACCATGTTCTCATAAATGCTGGTTTAACATTTCTACATGATATTGATGGTTCATTATATCACACAGAGTATTTACAGACATTATATTATATTTTACAGACATATTTTAGATCAATATTAACCAGTCAGTGAACCTCAACTGTTTTTGACCTCAATCTTTGTGTGGATTATAAAATCAAAAGTAAAAACGTCTTTAAAAAAAATACACTAACACATACAGAAATATAGCTATATGTATTAATAATTAACAACGTAATATAATTATGTATTCTGAAAACGTAAAGTAATACAACAGTGTAACTGATTACAGAAAAGCCCTAATATATTTACATCTGAGGCATGTATTATTATTTTAAGTCTCATTAATGTATATAAATTGTTCTTGTCGCCCTCATCTTATGTATGTCCATTTTCTCATGTACTGGGCTCGCCCTCACACACGTATAACCCGAAATAAACAGAGTATTTTAGACTGAAGTTGTCATAAAGTCTGATGCTGACACGGTGCAACTCGACGGTCTCTCTGACGGCTGCAGTTCTTCTGTCGGCCGCTAGAGACACACTGGCGCTGCGGCGCACAACAAGTGAGATCAATGCAGCGGCACGAGACCAGCAGAACATTTAGGATGCATCTTTTATCAGTTATATATACAAAGAGATAGACATTTCCCAATAGTCATGGGTTCATTGTGTTTTAGATAAATGAAACCCTCTTCCTCTGCTCATCTCAGTAAAGTGAGTATCTTTGGTTTCTTTCCCATCGTGTGTTCTCATCTTCTATGATCTCTTAATCCTCCTGTTCTCTTCCACTTCCATTTTAAAGGAGTTTTACAGGATTGCAGCACATGTGAGTTCAGCTCCCTCTCATTAAAGACGGATCCGAGCGGATCCCAGTTCAGAAAACTCTCCTCACCTGTTGTCAGCCAGTACTGTACTAACTCAAGTTAAGAACAACACTGCCCATAATATAATGCAGATACAGAGATTAATCCTGTCGGTGATGTCCGATTAGCGAATGAATCGTTATTCAGGTGAACCGATTCGCGACTCGACTCGTGTGAGGGATGACTGCTAAATATCAGTTAACTAAATATAATTTAATTTTGTTATTAAATGTTTTATCCATATTTAGGGAGAGAGATAACAAAAAAAAAACTTGGTAAAAATATGACAAAAATTTCAGGCACTTTCAGAGGAATGTCTTCGGGAATGTTCATGGTCAACTCAGCTAATTAATTACATTAAATATAAGGTAAATTAGGTGAACATTAGGTAGGTGAACTATTTCTTTCAAAAAGTTTAACCAAGTGTTTTGTGTATGATGGTACACACACACTCACCACTGTTCCTAATGGCTCTGATGTTTCTCTTGCATGTGAGTTTCTTCCTCTTTTTCGTTTGGTTTAGTTCCAGTCCTCCTGTGTTTCACTTTAATAACGCCTACAGTCACACCACACACACTTTAACATCCCACCTTCTCTCACTGCACACACACACACACTTGATTTCAGCTCTCACAGCAAGCCACACTCTCCAGCAAAACAAACTCTGGGTTAAAGTTCAAACTCACTGAAAAGGCCACCAGGAGTCTGTGACATGTTGTGCTTGAGTTTGTTTTTAACCTCAACTTGCAATGCAAATTCACATGTAAACCTGATGAAACATGATTTCAGTGTGAAAACAACTAAACAGGTTTTACACACAAATAAGCGTACTGAGAGTTCAGTAGTTCCTGATACTGTTTTAATATCTTGTTAGTCTTGTGTGATTGCACAGTAAATATAATAGATGAGTTGAACCAAACTTCCTGTCGTTGCTTGTGTGTTTCCTGTATGTGGGTTTGTAGCATCTGAGGTTATGCAGTGAGACAGTTGCAGCTGTTACACACACACACACACACACACACACACATAAAGCTGGGTCATCATCTCAGACTATTAAAACACAGTCTGTGATCAGTGTCTGATGACAAGTGAACAGCACCGTTACAGACTTCAAGATGCTCAAATCGGTCCAATTCTGGATTATGTTTTGAAAGGTGAGTCTCTGCTGTAAATTATCGCCATTATTACAGCTTGTTTGCATAAGTGAGTGACTGATGTCCTGTCAAGATCATGTCATATTTCTTACAGAAAGACAAGAGATCTGGACAGACATTGACGTACAGGAACTTAATGCTGTAATCTGCATTTTATATGTGAAACTGCTGATATAAACAATATTCTTCAGGACAACAAATGACAAGAGAAGCATTTGATTCTGAGTAGCACGGACAACCTGGACCTATTTAGATGCTTCAAGGCAGATGCATGTCTTCTGAATCACTAGAGTTTGCTGGAATTCATTATGGCCAGGGGATTTTTTTAAATCCTGAACTCTAATCCAAAAATATTTGGCACAGACCAGTGTTGCCAAGTCCGCGGTTCTCCCTACTTTATCACTGTTGCTGCGGGTTGTTTTTCATGTCCGCAGATTAAAGCGACCCCAATAATGTGGTATTTAGCCCCTGGAGTGCGACTTTTACCAGGGGAACCCTGTCAAAAACGTGTATTTTACCCCCTGGAATGCGATTTTTAATGGGGAGCCCCCCTCAAAATGCAATTGGGCTAGTTTTGAGTAGCAATTGGGCGGGTTTTGTTGTGAAAACCTGGCAACCCTGCCTGGCACAGACTTTCAGCCTGTTCTGATGGGTGTTGCTTATGGTTTTCCCGCAAATGATCATCAATATCACAAAAATTTCCATTGAAAATGTCTAGCC